ATTAAAAGAGTAATGTGAGTGGTATAATTCTCTTGTACAGAAATACAAAGTCCAAAATCATTTTTGGCTGAGGTAGTCAGAGAATGGAGATAGTCTGAGTTGGACTTCTGAGATAAGTAGGATTTGATAGGTGAAGGGGAGATGAAATGGCATAAGACCGAGATAGGTAGAATATTGATAAATGATTTGGAGATGAAACGGCATAAGTGTGGGTACACAAGTAGAAAAGTAAACTCAGAGCTCAAGGAAGGGCTAATGATCCACGTGGGCAGGAATATGGGGCTTATGTAGAGATGTACCAGGAAGTAAAACCAGGATGAATGGCAAGCTAGGACCTGGTTGTTAGGGGTCTTCAGTGCTGAAGTCAGGATTGTGACCCTTATTTATAAGGTGATTAGGCATGATTTTGGCAGTTTGAGCAAAGAGGTGGCAAACTCACAGTTCTCTTTTGATGTAAAGTATCAAGAAATGGGAGTAAATATAATTAAATCATTATAATTTTAAAATGGACTTCCAACAAGTTGTGCTAATAATAAGGCGGAATGCCTTACCAAGCAATGAACTCTCCATTATTTAAACAGAGGCTGCATTTCAATTTCATGTAGAGGAAGTCTTGTGTTTACTTAAAGATGAGACATTTGGGAAATTTCTTCTTTTTTTTTTTAACTGATATTTACTAACTTAAATATTATGCTAAATGGTTTATAGGCACTCTTACTTAATACTCACAAGTATGGTAGAAAAGCTGTTACATTGAAAATAATGAACAAAGAATGTGGAGTGGACAGTACTAAATGAATACCTAATGTATTACAGAAGGACAAAGTACCAAAGTTGGTCAACAAGAAAGAGGAAGAAAGAAAATATAAAGGTAAAAATGTTTTATCCATACGGGCCTCTTTCTTAAGAAAAAAAAGGAAATATAAAAAATAAGTTAGGAAATGTTAAGAAGTAAAATTTGGAGGTTAAAAATTCACCATAAAATACATGTCCAAGTTCAACCTGTGGTGAACTGACAACTCTTATGTAGAATTTGACCAAAGTGCTAACATGATTGAATCAGGTAATGACGTGAGGGTCAGTTGTAGAATTTTCAAGCTTTGAAAATTGGTTTCATATCTCTGCTTGCCATGACTTAGTTATAGAGAGGCTATAAAAAGCAGTCAGAGTGGAGAGAGGGAAAAAATTTGTAAAGATATTTTTTTTGGAACAAGTTGCTATGGTTCTAAAAGTCCCCACCCTCCCAAAGGGGATACAGTTTTGGGAATCCACTCTTTCATCTCATCCTAGCAGGGAGGACTTCCAGAAGACAATGGAGAGTTTGATGTTTTCTCATGTTTTGTGACACAAGAACTGGTGCCTGGCTTGCTCCTGAGAATTTAACCTGCATGTGGCTGGTCTCTAGTTGGATAGATAGTCATTAAAATACAATTTTAAGAAACACTTCATGTTAGGTTGTTATAACTCAGATGCCATCCAATATGGCCTCTAAAGGGATGGAGGGATCTCAGCAGCAAGAATTCAGAGACGGAAGCAAGATTCCTAGAGGTGAAGGATGGAGTGAGCCACATGTTACAACCTAGAAAGAGAAGCATCCATCCAGGTCCAGGGGATTTCCTAACAAAGAAATTAACTAGCAAGTTAAAACTTAAGAGGACTAATGAAAACAAGAGTCAGAAATGTGTGTGGGGCTGGATGCAGTGACTCATGCCTATAATTCCAGCACTTTGGGAGGCTGAGGCAGGAGGATTACTTGAGCCCATGAGTTCACTATCAGCCTGTGCAACAGAGCAAGACCTAATTTCTACAAATACATTAAAACTTAGCTGCGTGTGGTGATGCATGCCTATAGTTCTGAGGCAGAAGGATCACCTGAGCCCAGGAGGTTGAGGCTGCAGTGAGCAGAGGCTACAGTGAGCAGCAATGATTGTGCACTGCATTCCAACCTGGGCAACAGTGAGACTCCAACTCAAAACAGGAAAAAGAAAGAAAGAGACTTGCACCAAAAATAGAATGAGAAGTACAAACACAATGAAATAACAGATTACACAAAAAGTAAAGTGAGGCTCAAGAGGACAGGTTAATACTCCAAAATTTAAGTAGCAGATCTGAGCTGGCAACTAAACTCGCCAGATCTTGAGCATTTGGTATCTATGCAACATTTCCTCTGTTCCTTTTCTTCTGAGAATGGAACTTTGTTCATCAAGGTCTGTCCCTTACTACGGTTTACAGGGGAAGATTCCCACTTGTCATAGTTCTGAAAGATTATTTTGAATTTAAAAAGCTGGTGAGATGCCTCTGAACCATGAAACATAGCCCAAGGCTGCAATTTTGTTTCACACGGTACCGAGTTTTAAGGCCACTGTTGGCCTGTTCTTTGAGATGAAAGCAATATATAAGTAGGAGCTAAGTGAAAGAGAATAAACTGCTCTCCAGGTAGCAAAGCAGTATTTGAAGGAACATTTCCTGTGTCTAGTAATAATTCAGAAGCCTTCGATTATCAACTCTACTCCACTACCTAATTCCTTTCCTTCTTTTCTTCTTACTTTTTCCCACTTCCTCTTTCCAAGTAGCCTGTGCTGAAGCCTGCATTTAGATAATCATTGCACAGTGCAATTATGACTCTGTTTACGAGATTCTTGCTAGTATTTTATTTTTACCCTTTATAGCGTTTGTCCTTTAAAAGCAAGTGAATATGGAGACATGGTTTTTGGCTGCCTTTCTTGTTGGCATATGGCATTTATGCCGTTAAAATTTTTTTGTTGTTGTTCCAGGGCATTTCACTGATAAGATTTATCAAAATGCACCTACAAATCAGCCACTAAGAGACTGCCTGAAAACAAACTGTTATTAGGAAAATGATCATGACACAAAAAACAATAACAAAAAACAGCTTTAGGAAAGAACCTGACCGTTTGTTTTTTTTAGAAGGGTTTATATTCTGCCTCCAGCAAAAATTTATCAACGTCTGTTTCTCTGAATGAAATTGGATTTTCTTTTGAGTTTCAGGAATAAGCCATTCCTGGAAACGCAGAGCTCAGATACATTTGGCTAAAAAATTATTTTTATTCACACATAAGAATTTGCAATATTACTTTTAGTGAAGGAATGGGAACCAGGATTCAGATAATATGCATCTGCCTATCATGCCAAAGTCCCCCTTGTCCCCATATATAGTAACCCTCACAGTATACAAAAAGTATACATGATGTTATTGACTAAAATAGTAAACAATGTGATATTATTTGGTCACGATATAGTCTTATTCTCATTCCTTTCTTCAAATCTAGGTGTTAATCAAATTTTAGAGTATAGGCTGAAGGAAAAAATGGTAAGAAAACCCATGCCCAAGGAAATTTTCTCACTCATTTTTTCCATTATATTCTTTTTATGTATTTCTTATATTTATTTTCATTATATTTAGTGCCACTAAGCTGCCATACACTTACTAACTTGGAAGAGTTACAGTAAGCTTTTGGTGTGTTTTGCTACCTGTTACTCTATCCAAGAATTTAGGGCACTCAATGATCAAGATGGCGGTCTATATGTGAGCCTACCTACCTGCAAAGCTGCAACAGCCAGCACTGAGGATGCTTGTGCTGGGCTGGTGCTGAGGCCATGATTAGACCTGTTAGTAGGTGAGGACTCTGAGGCTGGACCTCAAAGATACTACCCTGTCTACATAATCATGTTGGACCTATTGATATTAATTGTCCTCCTTCCCTCTCCTTTCCCCTAATTAAAGACAATCATCAAGTTATGAAATATTAAAACTAGCAAAAACCATAAAAACCATAGTCGTCTGATTTATTGATACAATATAGAGACATAAGTCAGCAATTATTCTAACAATTTTGACCTCCATATCAGTTAAATAATAATCATTATTTGATAATGGAATTTGTTGCTTGACAGTAAACAATAATATTGAATAAAAAAGAATGAATCAACTGTAGTTAGTTCAGCAATCATGTTTAAACACAGCTTCAGGCTCGCAAGTCAAAATCTATTTTCTAAACTGTTATCATAAGGGTTATTTATGACTTACAAAAGTTTTTTGGTAGAATTTTCCCTCTTCCTGATATGTTCCTTTGCCCTATGTCTTTATCTGTCACTAACATGAAAAGAAGAATCTGTCCCAGAGATATTTGGAGAAGAAAGAGATAATAGAAGCAAAACAAAGGGAAAAAAATAAGATAATTCTAAAGGAAACAATATCAATTTTTAAAAGTCTAAAAATTAACTAGTTAATAAATTGCATTAGGGAAACTCCTCAGGTCCCCTCCCACTATGGGAGCTTTTCTGTCTTCTCAATAAATCCTACTTTCTCAAAAACAAACAAACAAATAAATGAATAAATAGCATTATTTATTTGCTATTCACTTTATGTATTAGATATGCTATAACACGAGTTCATTTGTGTTTTTCTAAGTCACTTATGATAGGAAATCCTAAAGAAATCACTTTTTAGAGCAAAATGAGAACCAGATATATTTATATATGTGCTCTTTAAACACAACTATTCCTTCTTTCAAATTCCATGCTGCAATAATCTTGCACGACCCAAATCTCCTATATGACCCTTCACCCCTTCTCCCGCTTATGTTCTGTGTACAAAAGGAAAATAAATTATCCATAGTTAACATATTTTATGTGTGACGACAGGAGGAATATGTCATGTAATGTATGTGTTAGGGTATAAACAATTACTTTTATAAAAGTTTCCATTTCTTGGATCTTCATAGGCACTGAATATACGTATCATCCAGGGTTCTCCCAGTAATAAAACTAGAACCGGGGGGGGAAAAAGACCCTCTATCTAGTGATAGCCCATTATACTGAAATCTACTTGTTTGTCACGGCAACTAGGAAAACTTCTGAAAGAACTGGCCTTCAAGCTTTAATAGTTTGTCCCCCAGCCCAGTGCACTGACTTGATTCAAAATGAGGCAGACAAGTGAGGGAAATGGCCCACCACAGTCTAGGATTCTGTGAGGTTACCTCTGAAATGCGAAGACATGCTGCTCACAGAAGAGGATGATGGTTACAAGGGTTGCAAGGCTACAAAGCTTCATCCCAACAGCCATTTGCTGCACAAGTTTCTCTAAAGAGAAAGACCCAGGTAGTTGATTGCATAAGCCCCTTCTTTACACACCGGTTAAAATATAACGGCATGTTCCCTCTCATCCCTGTGGATCAATCAACTTAGTTTCTAGTTCCACTCCCCAAAAGAGAAATGCACATTAGTTTAGTTAGGTGGTTGTTTGATAACTGAACACTCAAAAAGAGTATGATAATACTTGTTCTTAGTTTAAACTATCTAGCAAATGTTTAACTCTTCAGGGATGATGAGGCCAAGAATAAAAGGAGTATAATATGGCAGGACTTTATCTGGTTTGTTGAAGTACCATAGCCATAGAATATTGACTGATGGATCATAGCCCCTGTTGAGGGATGTCTCCAGTGAAATACTAAAAATGTCTTTTCTTACCTCTGACTTTTTCAACATTTTTAGTTTAGATGAAGACACACGAGATGAGTTCCTCAAATTTGTGGCCAATACAATGCTGAGAGGCAGAGTTTGTATAGATGATTACAGAATCTCCATTCAAAAAATGTTTCCATGACCATATGGGATGATAGACCCATCCATAGAATACTATGTTGTTAGCCAGGCTCGGTGGCTCAGCCTGTAATCTCAGCGCTTTGGGAGGCTGAGGTGAGTGGATTGCCTGAGCCTATGGGTTCGAGACCCCGCCTGGGCAACTTGGCAAGACCTCATCTCTACAATAAGCCAAAAATTAGCCGGGCATGGTAGTGCTCGCCCGTAGTTCCAGCTACTTGGAAGGCTGAGGCAGAAGGATCGCCAGAGCTCAGCAGGTCGAGGCTGCAGTGGCCGGGAGCAGCCACTGCACTCCAGTCTGGGTGACAGAGTGAGACTCCAACTCAAAAAAAAAAAGGAATACTATGTTGTGGCAACGGTTTCAAGCGGTAAAGACATTAGGTCTATTGGAATCATTTTTATTTAGGAAAAGTAACCATAATAGTCTTCAAGCAAATTCAGGCCTACCATCCACCATTATGCAGGTAGCATTGTATAATATTTTGTCTAATGCAAACCACATCTGTACTTTGTGGATGGAGTCCTGGTATCCCTTCTACATCCCCGCTGATAAATGCATTTGAATTTTCTTGAGGCCAGGGTAGGCAGATTTATAAAATAAATTAACCTGTGCTTCTGAGAAGGAAAGGACTGAGATTTCAAATTTCTCTCTAAAACTCAAAGCTATTGAAACGTATTTAACATATCAAAGTGGCCTTCACTGAAACTACTTTTTGTATAAGAAAGAAAAATGTACTAAAAACTTTGTTTGTGGACAAAGAAATACTGGATGGATAGATGAGAAATTAATGAGCATGATTACCTACAGGGTGTGGACAGAGATAGAGTGGAAAAGATGAAGAAATACAGGGAAAAAGAGATGGGTGAGGGACTTTTCTTCTGATAAAGCTTTTTGGGTAGCTCTGAATTTTAGAACCATGTTGTTTTCACATATGTAGCTAAAACAGACAAATACATAATATTTTAAAGTATACAAATAAAAAAAACCCGTGTTTCAAATGAGTAACAATCACATTGAAGAGAAAAGACTAACTCAAGTAACCTTTACCTTTTTTTAACATAAAAGGTAACTTTAAAATAAACAGTGAATAATTAAAATATGCTGACAAATATTAAAAGTATGTTGACAGTTTTTTTCTCCTTTTTATTTTGTATCCTATGCTTCTTTTTTATTTTGTGTCCTGGGAAACAGAAACATAGGATACAAAATAAATAGAAATCACAAAAATTAATTCATTTTAAATTGCATTTATTATTGCTGAAGCAATAATTTAAGAGTTTTTTTTGTTTGTTTTTGTTTTGTTTTTAGCACAGGTCTATGGGTGGTAAAATCTTTTATACTCTGTATCTTTAGTGATAATTTTATTTTGCCCTCACTTTCAAATACTAGCTTACCTGAATGTAATAGTCTAGAATTGTAACTACACAGGTTCAGCTGCTTGCCACTTGAAAACAAACTCAAGAGACAAGAGTTGATGGAAGGAAAAACAGGTTTATTTGAGAGCCATGGCAGAATAAAATCACAAAGACCATTTCAGCTCTTTCAGGCTGACTGAAGAGATTTTAAAGGGGAAAGTAACATGGAAACTATGTGTGGGAGTTATGCGGGGTGCAGGGTCTGCGTGTCATCTGGAGATGTGGCCAGCGACAGATTGACCACGACTGAGTTATGGATTAGCTGTTCAACAATCTTTTCCTAGAAAAGGGAGTGTCCCACAATTTTGACTGCATACCTGGTTTGTTTCAAGATTAATTCCTGAAATATCTTAAGCAAGTATACAGTTAAGTATTGAAAAAGAACAGCATAGAGGAAACAAAGGAAGATGGCCATTCATCTTTAAAATGAAATGACTGCTTGGGTTAGAGTATGACAGACGCTTTTTTTTTGTCTTTTGTCAATCTTTTGGCATCTACTGTTTTTGATAGGAATCTGCTATATGGGTAATTGTTGCTCCCTTGCATGTTAGCTACTTGACTTTTTCTACTTGATGACTTTTAATGGATTATCTTTATCCTTGATGCTTCTTGGAGTATGGTCTCCCTTGGAGTGCCTTGATTCATGCCTTATAACTACCCTTTCATGTTTCTAAAAATCATTATCTTTGTCTCTATATGCTATGTTCTGGGTATCAACGCTATCTTCAAATCTATGAATCCCTTTTATGAGTCTAATTTAGATTACAAAGTCAACTGAGGTGTCTTTAAAAAATTGTTTCAATAATTATATTATCTTTTACAACTGGTCCTTTTGCATGTTTACTCATTTTGTTTTCATATCGGTGTTTTAAAACGTCATTTAAAATATTTTATTATTCAATTTTTGCTCATTGGGAATCCTCAGAATATTTAATTTAAAGACCATGTCATGCTGCTTTATTTTTTTAATTTTTAAAAAATTAAAATAAATTTTAACATTGTGGGGTACAAGCCTGGGTTGCGTATATAAGTGGTTTAGGTACAGGTGAAATTTTGGGCCTCCCATTGAACTGCACTTCATCTGGATTAGGATCAGGCACCCTTATTGATATTATGTGCCCCACCTCCGGCAGTGTCCTGCTACTGCTAATCCTTTATTGTAGTATTAGGATAGGTGTTCAGGGTTCACTTATGAGTGAGAATATGTGGTACTCAGTTCTTTGTTTCTGTGCTAGATCACTGAGGATGATAGACCCCAAATCCATTCAAGTTGCTGCAAAGTCCATAATTTTGTCCTTCTTTATGACTGTGTAATATTCCCTCATATATATGTACCACATTTTTTTTATCCAGTCCACCTATGGTGTTTTGATCTGAAGATTTAGACACTAAATCCTTTATGTGTTCCATGTTTTTGCTATTGTGAATAGAGCTGCAATAAACATGCGTGCCCAGGTATCTTTTCTGTAGAATGATTTGAACTCCTCTGGGTATATTCCCAGAATGGGAATTACTGGGTCATATGGAAGGTCAATCTCTAGTTATTTTAGAAATCACCAACTGTTTTCCATAAAGGCTGAATTAGTTTGCACTCCCACCAATAGTGTAGAAGCATTCCCTTTTCTCTGTATCCTTGTCAGTATCTGTTGTTTTTTTGTTTTATTTATGGTGGCCATTCTTACTGGAGCTAGGTGGTATCTCAATGTGGTTTTGATTTGCATTTCTCTGACGATTCGTGAGGCTGAGCATTTTTAAAATGTGTCTGTTGTCTGCTCATATATCTTCTTTAGAGAAGTATCTAATCATTTATATTGCCCATTTTCTTTTTTTTTTTTGAGTTGGAGTCTCACTCTGTTGCCCAGACTAGAGTGTAGTGGCCGCTCATGGCCACCGCAGCCTCAACCTGCTGGGGCTCCGGCGATCCTTCCGCCTCAGTCTTCCAAGTAGCTGGAACTACAAACGTGTGCTCCGACGCCTGGCTAATTTTGATTTATTGTAGAGATGAGGTCTCACCAAGTTGCCCAGGCAGGTCTCGAACCCACAGGCTCAGGCACTCCACTCACCTCAGCCTCCCAAGGCATAGGATTACAGGCCGAGCCACCGAGCCCGGCTTATATTGCCCATTTTTTATTGGGGCTGTTTGTTTTTTTCCTTTTGACACATTTGAGTTCCTTGTAGATCTTGGATGTTAGACCTTTGTCAGACATATAGTTGGCAAATATCTTTTCTTATTCTGTGGGCTGTCTCCCTACTCTCTTGATGGTTTCTTTGACTTTGAAGAAGCTTTTCAGTTTGATGAGGTCCTATTTGTCTATCTTATCTCTTATGGCATGGGCTCTTGGAGATTTGATCAGGAAATGGTTGCCTATTCCAATTTCCATAAATGTGTCTCCTGTATTTTCTAAAATTCTTATAGTTTGAGGTTTTATATTTAGGTCTTTGATCCATTGGAGTTGATTTTTGTGTATGGTGACAGGTAAGAGTCCTGTTTCATTCTGCTGCACGTGGTCAGCCAGTTTTCCCAGCACCATTTACTGAATAGGTTCTCCCTTTCCCAGTGGTTGTTGGCAGAGGTTTTGTTGAAGATGAGTTGGTTGAGAAATGGAGGTTCTGCTTCTGGAATCTCTATCCTGTTCCATTGGTCTTTATGTTTATTCTTGTACCAATACCAGACTGTTTTGATTATTGTAGGCTTATTATAGCATTTAAAGTCTGGGAGTGTGATACCTCCTGCTTTGTTTCTTTTGCTGAAGATCGTTTTGGCTATTTGTGGTCGATTTTATTTCCATAGGAATTTCTATATTGTTGTTTCCAGGTCTGAGAAGAATGATGATGGTAATTTAATTGGTATAGCATTGAATCTGTGAATTGCTTTGGGTAGGATGAACACCTTAACAATGTTGATTCTTGCAATTCATGAGCATGGAATATTTTTCCTTTTGTTTGCATTTTCTTTGATTTCTTTGAGCAATGTTTTGTAGTTTTTGTTGTAAAGATCTTTCACTTTTCTGGTTAGGAAGATGCCAAGGTGTCATTATT